GCATTTATTATACTTGTTCCATGTATATTAGTAGCCTTCGATATTGCACCTTATTAGATAAGAATTTTAATATTTTAAATATATAGACAAAATGAACCAAAAATTTTTATTTAATATAGGGCATATACCTAAACAAACTGCTCTAATGATTACTATCACTAATAGTAGAGGTCAATATGTAGTTAGTATAATAGAAGCTAATATTGATAAAGTGTTAATTGGATCTAAACCTGTAAATAAACATATTAAAAATGCCAAAAAAACATTAATTTTGATGATAGATAGCTTACCTGAAGATAGCAAAATTTGTAAATTTATATTGGAAAATATTAAAACCCCCTTTAAGTTAAATGCTACAGTAATAAAATTAGTGTAAATAAAGAGTCTTGGATAAACTTAAACTTTTCAACATTTTCTATTTTAGAAGGTGGGACTTATTTATTTACTCAAGTAACTAATAGCACAGAATATGTTGGTTCAGCCTCAAATTACAGAGATAGGCTGGAGTTGCATCGGATGCAGTTTAGATCTGATAAGATTGCTAGAGCATTACATAAACAAGAAAAATATAATCAAAGTACACTTTTTTTTCTCAAAAATTCAAATAGTTACTTGCTTTTTAAATTTATTTAAAAAATTAAATCCTAAATATGTTTTAACTCTAGGAGAATATGAAATTTTATTAGCTCTGACTCTTTATCCTATTCGTGTTTTAGAACAAGCCTTAATAGATCTTATCAAACCATCAATTAATGGTAACGGTGGTAAATTCGACACAACTGTATATCATAAATTTACTAACTGGGATCCAACAAGATTAGAGGACGAAAAACTCGGAATCCAAGGAACTATTCCTGTAGACATTTACAATTTAGAGGGTTCTTTAGAGTTCTCAGCTAAATCTTCTAATGATGCAAGTAAAATGTTAAGTATGTCTTATAGATCTGTGCCTTTATATCTAAATAATGCTAAGCCTTTTTTCAGTCCTACTTTAGATAAATTTGTTACCTTAAGAAGCCCTGGATTTAAAGGTAAATTGGAATTCAAAAGAATCCAGCATCAATTAAAAGCATCTCCTTTAATTTTACCTAATCACAAATTAGATAAATTATCCATTGTCTTTTTATATTGTTTTACTGAAGATAAAATAAACTTTACAACTTTTTTCACATTAACTCAAGCTTTTAGAGGTTTATTCCCTAAACAGTTTGAAGAGGTGTTAAAAATTAACCAATACCCTTCAGGTGTACTTAATGTCATTAAATCTAGAATAAACTTAGATGACCCTGTTATAGCTGAAAACGGTCTAAAATATTATTTTGCTAAAAATCCTACTAGAGAGGAAAATGTATTTAGAGAAAATGCTATCATTCTGGCCATTGAAGTAAACACACTTCAAGCTAAAATTTATCCAAGTACAGTTAAAGTAGCTGAATACTTATCTAATATAGGTTTAACAAAAAGAGTATGCACTTATTATAAAGATACAGGTAAAGTTTATAATGGTTATATTTTTGTAACCTATACTCATTTTATTAGCATTCTACCTGAAATTTTTGTTCCAGGTGTTGATACTTACACACTTACAGATATCCAACTTAACACACTACTAACTAGCTATCAAACCCTTGACTCTACCAGTGCTAAACGCTAAACGTAAGTTTGGGTTTAAAAAATTAGAGTTATTTTTATATATAAAATAATCAAAATTTGTCACCGCACTGCGTAAGCTGCCTTCGGACAGAAATAAAAAAAATAATTCAAATTTATGTTAAAATAAATTTGAATTATTTTTTTCAACGCAGGGAAACAGAGTAGTTAGCTTTATTTATTTATTTACCCCCCCATTACTATACTTATTTTATATATGACAATTTAACTTAATAAATATTCTTCTTCTTATACGCTGGCTACGCCCTTGTTTTATTCTCATGTATAACTGCTATATTATTTTTTGGCGGTTATAACATGCCTGAATTGTTTCTTTATTATAGAATATATCCTTCCTCTTGGCAGCTAATAAATTTTGTATGTTGTTATCGGTTAAAAAAAATAATTGTTATCTTTGATAACAATTATTTTTTAAAGACCAGCGCTATTAAAAAAATTATAAATAGTTACTTGTAACTATTTATAATTTTTTTTTAAGGTCGCTACGACTACGTCCTACCAAAAATTTATTAAATAGTTACAAAGTAACTATTTATAAATTTTTTTTCCTTAAAAAATTTATAACTCTGTTATAAATTTTTTTTAGCCCGCAAAAATTTTTTGAGGCAAGGGCTAAAGAAGAAACTTCAGAGAAGGAAGAGTAATTACAACTTATTATTCTTATAAAGCTTAAGTGTTTTCCTCTATTATTTTTTATTCATTTTCTGCGCAGCTGCGCAGCGTCCGAAGGCGGCAGCGCTTAAACCAAAAAATATGCCTTCGTCTCCGCTAGGGCAGCAGCCTTCGGACCGAAGGCTGCTGCGCACAAAATTTATTTTAATTATTTGAATAATCAAAGAATAAAAAAAAAATAATTTTTTTTTTTTTTGCTTGCAGCAGTTAAAAATAAATTATAAATAGTTACTTGTCATTATAAAAAAATTTATATTTTTTTTTTTATAGGTTAATATATACTCAAATTACCGCTTGCTTTAGCATCGCTTGTTTTTTTTAATATTCTGTAGAATCTGAACTTTTACTAGTTAGAGTTTGGTAACATCTTCGCCTGCGCTCCGCGCTTTGTTAAAATAGTTTCTTATCGCACACAAAAATGCTACATCTTTATAGTTAATTATTAACCTAAATCTAAACTTTATTCCTGCTTTAGCCTTTTTATTTGTAATTAAAGCATTGTCGTTGTGACCTTCAACACCGGTAAAACCAGTTATAAACCATGTTGAGAATTTAGATTTCTAATTCTAAGATAGCTCCTTCTATTTTTCTAGACGAATTACAAATTTTACCCTTTTAAATTAGTAGAAGCTAGATTTGAGGATTTAGTTCTCAATGAAGTGTATTCTTCAGTTACTTATACTTCTTTGTGGCTAGAATTTAAAGTAGTATCCTTTAGGTTAGGGATATTACTATAATAATGTTTGGATAGGGGGCTTAAAGGTTTTTAATATTAACTGTTAAATAAGGTAATACTTTTAAATTAATGTAATTCAATAGAATCTTTAATATAAGAACAAGTTAAGATTGTGAAAACATAAGCTTGTATAAAAGATACGGCTAATTCTAGACCCATAATTGCTAAAAATAGCCCAAATGGGATAATAGTTACAATGAACATAACAAAACCAGCCGAAAACATTTGATATAAGAATGTTGCTAATATTTTCATTAAAGTATGTCCAGCTACTACATTAGCAAAAAGTCTTATACCTAAAGAGAAAGCTCTAGCTAAATAAGATACCATTTCAATTAACACTAATAAGGGCACTAATGCTAGAGGAGTTCCTGAAGGTACAAAATATTTGAAGAAGCTGATTTTATGAATAGACAACCCTAAAATAGTCACAGCGATAAGTATTGTAAAAGATAGACCAATTGAAACCATAATTGAAGTAGTAATTGTGAAAGAATAAGGAACGTTACCACATAAATTAGCAGTTAAAATAAAGAAAAATAATGAATATATAAATGGATAATATACTTCTTTACCTAATTGTTCTCTTACCATTGAATTAATGCTTGCATAAATGCTTTCTAAAGCTATTGACCATTTAGATGGAACTAATTTATTTTCATTATTACCTAAATAATGTATACTTATAATTATAACTAACACTAAAATAGAATATAAGGCTAAGTTAGTTAAATTTAAATGGAAAAACCCAAAAAAAGGTGAATTAATCCCTAATAAGTTTGTAACTTCGAATTGTTCTAAAGGAGAATTTATTTTTAAAACTATTGTTTGATAATCAGTATTTAACATATTTTTATGTGTTTTTAGACATCTTTTTTTATTATATTATATTATCATTGCTTATAAAATTTATAACTAAAGCGCAAACAGTGGTATTTTTTTAGTTTTAAACATTTTAATCCATCCCTTGTATTTAAGATTATAGAAGTATTTAAGGAAAAAAATTTATATATACCCCTTTAATAAAAATTTTATTAGTCCTGCGCTGATAAAATTTGTATATCTATATAAAAATTTTATTAGGTTAAATAAAAATTTTATATTTAATAAAATTTTTATAAGCGCTAGCGCACAGAGGCTCTTCGCTGCTCTAGTCCTTTAAAAAATTATAAATAGTTACAAGTAACTATTTATAATTTTTTATTGCGCAATCGCTTAAGCGGTGCAAGGCAAGCGATAAATTTTTATAAAGACACGGTCAAATTTTTTAATTATAGTTCTTAAGAATATATAAAAATTTTGTATTACTTTGTTCTCTACTTTGCTCAGCAAAACTTTGAGCCGTTAAAGCCAACAAATTTATCGCGGCTTTGCCTTATCCCCACAAAAAAATATCACATATTTGTAAAAAAAAAATATAGAATTACATATAAATAAAATAGGCATTCTATTTAAACAAAGCTATAAATTAATAAGCAGAATGATTAAATATAATATTAAATTATAAAAATTTAAATTCTCCAGTATTATGAAAAATTTTTTTTATTATTTTTAATATTATCGTTTAATTATTAATTAATTAAACATATAATTTTTATCTGTGTCCGAAGGCTGCTAGCCTGTTTTATCCAAGCTACAAGATTTAACCTATCAAGCGTAGGGCTTGTCATTATATTTAAAAATGTAGGTCTTAATTTTATTTCAAATTTTTTAAATTTAGATTATTTAGCTGCGCTTATAAAAATTTTATTTAACATAAAATTTTTATTTAGTCTAACTAAATTAAACAAAAATTATTTTTACGTACTAATTATATAATTAAAAATTTAATACTGTTTAGATTATACCTATAGAAATTATATTTAAATTAATTAGGGTATTATTTTGAATTTATAATTAGAGCTAAAAAAAAAAAGCTAAACGGGCACTGTAAGATTCGAACTTACGACTTTGTTGAGAAGTACTTATTTTCAAGATAAGCGCCATAAACCAGACTCGGCCAAATGCCCTCAAACTAGTGTAATTCTATTGCTAATTTTAACTCTTTTAACCTACGTTTAAAAAATTTTAGTTCTGTCGCTTGCAATTATAAAAATTTTATTAAATATAAAATTTTTATATCTATATAAAAATTTTATTAGTTAAAAAAATTATAAATAGTTACTTGTAACTATTTATAATTTTTTTTTTTAGCGCTAGCGCAGAGGCAGGCTTATAAAATAAGCTTTTTATATCTATATAAAAATTTTATTAGGCTAAATAAAAATTTTATATTTAATAAAATTTTTATAAGCGCTAGCGCAGGAAAGGACAGCCAGATAAATTTTTATAATCCGAAGGCTGGCTGCAAAACAAATTATTTAAAAATTTTTTTTTTCTATAATTTTTTTTTACCGCTAGGTAAATAGTGTAATCAAAAATAGAATCAAAATCCTGAAATAAAAGGGTATTTTACTATATTTTTAATGTATATCTTTTGAATCTAAATACTTAAATTGATTTTATTTCCCTAAACTTAGCCTGTAACAACAAAGCAACTTTAAATTAAAGCCTATGATTTAACTGGTTAGAATAAGCTCTTGATAGGAGTTTTGTAGAAGTTCGAATCTTCTTGGGCTTAAATTTTATTTTTAAAGAATATCTAATAACTAATAGTTATGTTGCAGTTAAAAAATAAAATTTTTTATCGGGGCTAAATAAAAATTTTGCGGGCTAAAAAAAATTTATAAATAGTTACTTTGTAACTATTTAATAAATTTTTTTAACTACGGCCGTAGTCGTAGCGACCTTAAAAAAAAATTATAAATAGTTACTTGTAACTATTTATAATTTTTTAAAGCCCGCAAATATTAAATAAAATAATAATACGTTAATTAAATTATTTAATAAGGTCACAGTGAATAACTGTTAAATTTTTAAATCAAAATTGATTGTTTGCTGTCTGACTTCTTTGCTGCTTAATGCTTTGTGGCATTATTTTTTCACTGTTTTATACTTTGATGCTTTTTACCTGTTTATTTTTTATGTTTTATCGTAATTATATTTTAATGCTTTTACACTAATACGGCTATCAAGCCTTACTGTTTTAGTGATTTACAACTTACTTTATTTTTTTTTTGCTACCTGCTCTTTGCTAGTTTGCAAAAAAAAAAAAAAAATTTTTTTTATTTAGTGCACCGCCTAAGGGCATCTAACCATTTATGCGCAGGCTACGCTGGCTCCGCCCTTGTGTGTTTTTTTTTAGGGCTGGCTGCTTTGTGATCTTTGATCGTTGCTGCGCTAAAAAAAAAATTATAAATAGTTACTTGTAACTATTTATAATTTTTTTAACTAGCGCTGATCTTTTATCGTCAAAGAATCGAGAGCATTGATTTTTTGTCTTATTTAATCAAAGGATACAAATTTTTTGGGTTTAGAGCATCTATTAAGCATTGTCACAAAAAATTATAAGGTAAATTTGATCTTTAATAGGTCTTATAAACTTTTATAAACCTAGACAAATAAAATTAATTTTAAATCAATCAAATATTTTTTTAAATATTATAACTGCTTTAGTTAAATAAAAATAAGTTTATAATATTAATTAACACAATCTTAAAAAAAAAAAGAAAATAAATTTTATTTTTTATTAATACATTCATTACTCTAAAAAAAAATTATAAATAGTTACAAGTAACTATTTATAATTTTTTTAACTGCTCTAGCGAAGACTGTTGTATACAATAAGTTTTGGTTATAATAATAACTTTAAATTTTCGCCATTTTAAATTAACCATCTAATAGCTATATGAGGCTTTTAAAGAAACAAGTTTTACTTAGATTTATAAATTCTTATGTTGTAGATTCCCCTCAGCCCGCTAATATTTCTTATTTATGGAATTTCGGGTCTTTACTAGCAACTTGCCTAGGTCTACAAATTTTAACAGGTATTTTTTTAGCTATGCATTATATACCTAATGTTGATTTAGCTTTTACTTCGGTAGAGCATATTATGAGAGATGTTAACAACGGATGGGCAGTTAGATATACACACGCTAATGTTGCTTCATTCTTCTTTATCTTCGTGTACGCTCACATTGCCAGAGGTTTATACTACGGTTCATATAAATCACCAAGAGTCTTAGTATGGGCTATCGGAGTTATAATATTGGTAGTTATGATGGCTACAGCTTTCCTTGGATACGTCTTACCTTATGGACAGATGAGTTTATGGGGTGCTACAGTTATTACTAACTTATTAAGTGCTATACCATTTTTTGGTCAAGATTTAGTTGAGTTAATCTGGGGTGGCTGGATGAACTCTTAAGCAAGGTTCTGTAATTCGGGCCACGTTTCTCTCCTTTCCTCCCCTAACTCTGTGCGGCAAGCGATAAAATTGTTTTTGCTTCTATGATGCTCTCTGATCTTTTATCGCTGCGGCTTATACAAATTTTATATTTATGATGCTTTGCTGCTCTGCTAACAAAAAATTATAAATAGTTACAAGTAACTATTTATAATTTTTTTAACTGCTTCGCCGCGTCTGTGCTTTAGTCCTTTAAAAAATTATAAATAGTTACAAGTAACTATTTATAATTTTTTATTGCGCTGCTTCGCTTCGCGGCCACGATCAAAGATCACAAAGCGGTGCTTATAAAATTTTTATATCTATATCGGGGCTTTTAAAAATTTTATTAAATATCAAATTTTTATTTAGCGCTAGTTAAAAAAATTATAAATAGTTACTTGTAACTATTTATAATTTTTTTTTAAGGTCGCTACGACTACGGCCGTAGTTAAAAAAATTTATTAAATAGTTACAAAGTAACTATTTATAAATTTTTTTTAGCCCGCAAAAATTTTATTAAATATCAAATTTTTATTTAGCCCTTGATGCTCTGCTTTGCCGCGCAAGCAGTTAAAAAAATTATAAATAGTTACTTGTAACTATTTATAATTTTTTTTTAGCGAACGCCAGCTGCTCTAGCTATCAAATTTTATAAGGCAAGCAGGGGAAGGGGCAGAAAAAATAGAGAGTCAAACTCCGGGGAACCCCTAAAGCGTTTATTACTAAACAGTAACTTTCAAAAGGAGTAAGCTGCGGCCAATCTAATCAATTGGGTAGAGTAAGAAGATAAACGATGTTCGAAAGATAAATGGGCAATCGCGGAACTAAATCACCTCTGTGTCTGGGTTACAAAAACTCAACCTCAAGTTGTAAAAGCGCATCGACTAGACGATTCTCATATAATAATATAATTAGTATTTCTTCTTTATACTATATATTATTCGTATTAAGGTATAGTCAGGAGTCTTCTAAAGAAGATGATACGTATTCGGCTTAACCTAAGGTAACAACGATAGCAGGTCTCTGACCGATCTTCGCTCCGTAGCACTATGGTGAAGAATACAGGGAATTTTATTATCCCTATTTAACCCCCGTTAGCGTTCTGATAAGTGCGCATTATATTTTACTAAATTTAGTAAATATTAAAACTCTGCTTGATGCTGGAACTACTTTAAAGTTAAAATATTTGTTGTCTGCTTCGCCAAAACAAGTTCAAATTTTAAGCGTACAGATCAAAAACAATATAAGAATTTTTAACTTGTTAACTCTCCTTATTTTAGCCGCGTACGATCTGGTCTACTTTTCCCTAGTTTTTCTGGGCTGGCACAGTGAAAGCGGTCACAGGATAATAAGTAAACCAGCAGGGGTTTGTAAATGTTTTAAAGGTCAATTTTACAAATCTATTACCATTAATACTGGCCTACTGAGAGTAAACTCATTTAAAAGTCCAATTAGAAAAACAATTGGATTAAGGCAAATACATTTAACAGCTCCTCAGAGACTTAACGCAGAGGATATGGCTTGGTTAGTTGGTTTAGTTGAAGGTGATGGTTGGTTTTCAATAACTAAAAATGGAAAATATTGTAAGTACGAATTTGGAATAGAATTACATGAAAGAGATATACAAATGTTATATAAAATCAAAAAAGCATTAGGAGTAGGTACAATAAGTTTTAAAAAAGATCAGAATAAAGTTAGTTTTAGAATAAGAAAAAAACCTCATCTTAAGGAAGTTATTTTACCTATTTTTGATAAATATCCTATGATTTCTACAAAACATTTTAAGTATCTAAGATTTAGACTTAATTTATTAAATAACATTTTATATTACGAAAATTTAATGGATTATAATCCTACTGCTACACTCACACTTTATAATAATGTAGATAATCTAATTAAATTAGATTATTTTGATAACTGGTTAGTAGGTTTTATAGAAGCTGAAGGTTGTTTTAGTAAGTATAAACTTACTAGTTTAAGCCTTTATAATATTGTTAGTTTTGAGGTAAGTCAAACAAATCAACTACCACTCTTAATGGCTATTAAAAAAAGACTTTCTATTACTTCTAATCCTTATGTTGATAAAACTAACAATGCTAAACTTAAAACAACAAGTTTAGATAGTATTCAAAATGTAATTCATTTTTTAGATAAAACTAGTGCTAAATTAAAAGGGCACAAACGATTACAATATTTATTATTTTTAAAAGAATTAAGAACAAACCCTAAATATAAAAAATTAAGAGTACCTAAAATATATGGGAAAAATACACTAATATAGCCTTAACTTATCATTAATCAACCATATCATGATATAGTCCGAACCATTATGAGAATAATGGAGTGTAATGAGAGTTATTATATATACAACAAATTTAACTGAGATTACCAACATTCTTGAAATAATGCTACTTTAAACAGATTTTTCTCTTTACACTATCTATTACCCTTCTTATTAGCTGCTTTAGCTATAGCACACTTAATAGCTCAATATGAAGGGCCTTATATACTGGATTAGTATTAATGCATTTAACTATTTGCTGGAATATCCTAAAGTTTAATCTACGCTCTCCGTACTGAAAAAAAATTTATAAATAGTTACTTTGTAACTATTTATAATTTTTTTAACACGAGGTTATACGGAACCACGTAAATATCAATTGCCTTAAAAAAAATTATAATTTTTTTTTATAAGGCTGCAGCACTTCCCCGTATTGGTTGCAAGGATCACGGACACCTTTGCCCTAGCAGCCGTAGTGGCTGGATGCTCGCAGGGCCCTGAGGGCCCAGTAAGCAGCGAAGAAGCAATGCTGCGTAGCTGCTCACAAAGATCAGAGCATTCTATAAAATAAATATATACCTCAGCGTCACAACGATTAAATATTTAAATGGACAATCAGCAGGAAAATAATATTTTAATTTAAAATTCCTTTACACTAAGATTAGTTAGACATTAATAGCCCTATCCTGTTCTCTGATACCCCTTTGTGATACCGCTTTGCGATTGCTTCGCTTCGTGGCTAAAAAAAAAATTATAAATAGTTACAAGTAACTATTTATAATTTTTTTAACTAGCGTCGCTTGCGCGCTTGCTTTAGCATCGCTTGCTTTAGCATCGCTTGCGCAGAGCAACACTAATCCCTAAAAAAAGGAATAATTAAAATCTTAACCTCAGAGACTATACGTTAAATATCCATTTAACATCTGTACTTTAATTGTTCAATCCTTATACAAATTTTAATATATATTAGAATTTTATTACAGCATCGTAATATCAATCAACAATCAACTTT